TCCTTGCACAGCTGCTGCACCGACCGGTAAGCGAAGTGGCCGTACCCAGGCTCATGTCGGCAGGTTGGCATCCCAAGGTCTGCAGTTCGTACCCCCGTCGTTGACCGTGCTTTGGGGCTGCCTACGACGTAGCGCCATCGTTGATCGCAAGGCTGCTGCAGTTGACGGCAAGTGCGACGCAGTGGATTTTGGATGCTCGTGGTGATGGAACTCCAATGTCTGGTTTGGACGGGATAAACGCTTGCAGTAGCAACGGAACAAAGATTGACGGTGGTCTTCGTAATGCATTCCTTGCGTGGCTATTGCCACCACGCCATTTTTGGAATTTTTAGGGACAGTGTAGAATTGACATTAGGGTTTAACCTTTCTTTTTTCTGCAGAAACCCAAATCACTTGCCACTTCAACTTGTGCTCTAAGTCCGGCTGCCACAACACAAACGTCGTAAAAAGTAGTATGCCCTATGCTTCCCTTGTTTTGTACGGTGACCATACTAGCTTCTTTGCTCACGCAGACAACTACGGATGAATCTATAGTGGAATGCAACTTGTTCTAGAGGTCCGGCCGATCCTTAATTTCGAACATGGTGCTCGAGTATTTTCTTATAAGCAGTAGTGCAAAATTCTTCCATTCGAAAGATGCTGCCTCCAGTGTTTCATGCGGCTGATCGATTTGATCTTCAATTTACGTATCAAAAGTTGTCCTCCACCGTGAAAAAACTAACTGAAATAGCACCAAGTGATGTAAAAGAAAGAAATACAAGTGTTCTCACTCAAACATGCGGTGTAATTGAGGCACGAGATCAAAAGGTTGCTCCGAAAGGAGGAAGGAACCCCGAAACGTGCACCCCTGCCAGACTCCTCACGTCGAGAAGTTTCACCAGGCCATCCATGTCCACGACGTCCACTGCAATTCCGGTTGAGTCGATACGCACGTCGGTGATGTCTTCAATTAAATATTGTAATTGCAATTCGTCCCAAATTTCCCTTTTTTTCAGTACTGCAACAACGGCAGGGTTCGTTGTTTTAAAAAGCATGGTAAAAACTACTTCTCCTTGGGGAACATTGTCAAGATTGGGCATCCAAATTGCATTGGAAGTAGACTCCGGATTCCAGTACGATACAGCCGGCCTCTTCACGTCAATCCCACACACATTGCGTAAATCCTGCAGCATATCGATGGCTTCCCACAAGCTCACAGTGACCATAATGGCATCCTTCTCGACGCGGATCCCAGTCAACGCGTCTTTTAGACACTGTCGAAAAGTGACCAGGAGTGTGGGATGATCAATGTCTTGAAACGTTTGGGAAGGATCTGCTGCAGTAAAGAGCAAGCTTCTTTGCAAAGCAGTGTAGTTCGTGTTCCCTCGCTTTACTGACATGGCGATGGCGTGTAGATGGATGGGCAAAAGCACAATAGAAGAAAGAGTCCTAAAATGGCTATTGATGTGTCCTACAGACAATGGGATTGAACACCTCAAGGTGTCAAAAGGTGGAAAAGAAGAAAAGTATGGAATAACAACTTCCCTTGTAGCTCCACCGACAGCCCGCTACCTGTCTTGGCACTCGCGCCTTTTCGGCATTTGGCGGGAAAGTGGCGCGTAGCTCCCCGTCACAATGTTTTCGACATCTTCGGTATTGTCGCTGCACGCTCGCCGCGAGTTTGTGAAGCTCGAATTATTTCCAACGCGGCGTCTGGCAGATCCTCTTTAAACGTAAGGATTGTTTTGCTCACTGATCTTCTACCCATTTTTTTTTTTTGTAAAACTTGCTTTGGAAGTGTGTTACATGAAGACAGAGTACACATTGTAATATTTGTTTCACCCGTTTGTGCTGTTGCGGGCTACACATTCATTTCTGTATTGTGACATGGTGTGCACGAAATCAGCTACAAGTCCATTTTACTTTGTCGGATTTTATTTCACCACATTCCCTATGAACTGCAGAAAAGTGCTCTTGACAATCCGACGAACGTTAACCTACTTGGGTGCCCAGGTGGCGTCTTACGGAAGCTATTTGTGCGTGCTTCGGTCACAAACAATGGGAAAAACTAGAACTAGCCAGAAATAAAGCTTCATAAAATGGAATCTTGGGCGAGTTGATGACCCATATCCTAAGGTTTACAACACAAGATCAATCACACAGATTGACACACAAAAGGATCCCTTTCCTAAGGTTAACAGCACGTGTGTTTGTCCTTTTGTGTGTCGGTGCGTGTGATTGATCTTGCGCTGTTTACCTTCAGAAATAAAGATTTTCCGCGTTTCGTGCGACTTAGAACACGTAACCTGCGGTGCCGCATTTAACGACACTACCGTAAAATACTGTGGAAGCGCCCACTATGCTGTATTCTAAACTTGGGGATTCTGCAGACAATACGTTCAGTGCCCAATCTGACCGGACAAGCGCCCATGTCGATTCACCCAGTTTTCAGTGGGAGCGCGGTGGGCACTCCCCCGGCATTCTGTGGTAACTTGAAGAGAGCCCTTAGTCAAGCTGAGGAAACACCATCTCTGCCAAAACACTGCTCCTTCAAAATTGATTCGACAGCTTCAGCTAAAGGCCATGAAAGGCTTTTAGTTTTTACCCAACCTGAAGGTATACATCCCAAAACGTAAATGCCGCAAAAAATGAGATTGAACAAGGGAAGCAGACGGGACAGGTGCTCATCCTATCCACTTTTACTCATCCCATTGAAACATTTATGCTTTGCAATGTTTACCTAACGAGGCCCTCGTATAACATTGCACACGGCAGAGTAGGCAGCCTCACGGGTGTTTGAATACCACCCCACGTAGCATGGCTCTTTTGGACCAAAATATGTTTTTTGCGTGGGAATTTAGGGCCTTAAAATCCCGAAGAGGCTCAGGTAGTGCCAAACTTGACTTTGCTTGGCTAGAGTCTGGGTAACTTTGCCCCAATTCGTCGGACAAGTACCAGAGTTAGACTTCGCTTCCGGTTGTCTGGCTTTCATGTGGCAACTTTGGGCCTAAATTGCCAAGCAGGTGGGAGATTTAGTCTTGTGCTGAATTTTTCGTTCCTGCATGACATCTATGGCTCCAGTCTGGTGTTTCGGCAACCATGTGGCGAGCCGGAGAAAAGCCATAGGAACGCTAGAGGAAATGGTCTGGCATTAACTAATGCCTTGAAGCAAAACCATATTAGGCCCAACTTAGGCCCCTGGGAATCTTGTGCCAAATTAGGCATTTCTCTGGCGGGCTACCTGGGACCAGTCTAGTTTTTTCTTTTGCCATTCCGCTTCTCTGAAAAGTTCCAGTTCTTCATTGCACTGGTTTAAAACCTTTCCGAACTTGGAGCGTGTATCAAAGAAGCCATAGTGCGCCGCATCGTCTTTTTGGCGACTCTAGTGTTGCAAAACTAGGTTTCAGGAAACAGATGCCCCGTTTCAAAGAGACGGGAAAAGGTGCACGCTCCTTGCTCCTGAAGTGAGATTTTGCTGAAACCTCACCGAGGCCTGTCAAGCAACCGAAGGAAAGACGCAGATGCCAGCAATGGCCGCTTGACATTGCTGCCACATCTTACCTTCGAGGCGAAGCGAGCTTCTGGAGAAGCCAGATTTTTGGCCGATCCCGTGTCCGAGACAAAGCCGAGAAGAGAAAACAAACATGGCGGCGAGCGACAAGCGGAGATGCAGTGCGGACGGGCGTTACGTGTTGGCATTATGGGTTGGTGGTGCAGTGCAGATTCCTCAACAATCCTGTCTCTTTGCGCTGTAAATACTTTGTATCACTTTGCTGCGAAACGCTTGATATTCCCAATGCAGATGAATAAGTTTGGCAAAATTATCACGAAGAGGGTGTCTAGCAAATTATTATTTTGATATTACATGACTTTTCCAGGTTTTCCCTGACAATTTCAGGCGAAATTCCCTGATTACCGTAGATGCAGTGAAATATATGAGACCATTACAACACAAGGCATTGAGCATTGTGAGGATCATTTTGCACACGCTTAATTCAACTTGCATATTTCAAAATATTCGTGTTCGTCCAGTTCGAATTAAACGAGCACTTTCTTGCCGCCGACATCGTCAGTGAAGAGGCCACTTCCAAAAACATAAAAACAACGCTCAACCACACACGTCAATAATCGAATGACAGCATGGCCGCCAACACACACTTTCGGATACTTTTGGCTTAAGGCTTGGATTGTGGTCTGCGGCTTTTCCCAATTGTTACTAAATCTAGTAGCTCTACCTGGATCCAGCCTAGTGTTGCACCCTCAATCCAATCCAAGGCTTGGACTGGATTTGTCAGCTGTTCCCTTTGCATCGGGCAGCACACTCTACATCGGGTGAGCAGAGCCCACGCTCCGCTCTAAGCAGAATTTATTGCCTATTTTTCTGCCCCAAGTCCTTACGTCTTTGCTCAGGGTATTTGATGGCGTTTCTGGCTCATTTTCCCTCGCTGGGGTCGCTTTTTGACAATATCCCTGACATTTCACAGATTTTTCCCGGTAATTAAACTTTCCTTGACAATTCCCGGTTGCTAGGCACCCTGCATGAATCAATGCGTCACATTTTTCAGACTTCAAAATGTCCGAACTGGCCGATAGTGCGAAATGTCGGTTTCGCTAAACTGTTGCAAGATGAAAAGATGCACCGGGTGAATAAACCTTAACAGTGTCACGCCGCGCACATGTCTGCCTTGCATGAGATTTGGACAAAATCGCTACCGCAATATCCTGTATGGACGCCCATTAATTTTGAAGGAATAAAAACATTGGGTGGACGATCTTTGGCAACGACACACCAAAAGTTTCTCAACAAGGACAGCACCCGCCATCGACCACGTGGCACGGGAACGATTACTGCAGATCGCACGGTTCATTCGCCGGGAATCGGCGGTGGACAACGTTTTGAAATCAGTAGCCTACGGATAACTAGCCGGGAAAACGGAACGCAGCATCTAACATAGAAGGGCATTCGTTCGAGGTTTTACTCCACTACTGCCGCGTCCGAAGGATTTGCTCGACTCCCCGGGTGAGCAACTGGGGCGACTTCCTTTATTCTTTTCTGCACAACGATTCAAACGGACTGAGTGATCTACGAGGCGGGCCCGCGCTCAGCTCTGGCCCTTGTAGCGGTTCAGCGTGTCTCGGAGTTCGTCGGCGTCTTCGGCCGTGCGCACTCGCAGCAGCAGCGTCGTGGGTGTTGGGGAAGTGTCGTTGGGGTCCATGGGAGGGTTGGGCACGCACACCAGCGCCACATTGTTCTTGCCGAGCCGGGACACAGGGAGGGAGGGTGCCAGCAAGATGTTCAGCAGGATGTTGCCTGCAAAACGAGTGGGACCTTGAAGTCGGCGACCGCGAGGCGGCGCCGTTCTTCGAGCCGACGCTACGGTGCCCAAACACGTATCTGACCGCCGCGTTTAGCCTCTTGTCCCGCTCGTGCATCAAAGGGGCCCCAAGTGGCAGCAAATAACACCGGTGTCAGTGTGGTGACGATGGGTGCTTGTCGGCCAATCGCAACCCGGCCCTCTGGGAGAGGCGGCCTGCAGTTGGCCAACAAGTGCCCATCATCACCGCGCTGACACAGCTGCTGGGACATGTTTATACCCCAGCAGCCTGTTATAATCTCAATGTCATGGTGTCACATCACATAATGACGTCACATGACTTAATGTCACGGCGTAACAACTACAACCGACATAATGACGTTCATGATACTGCATGAAATACACTTCACAATATTTCGTGACATTTCATAACATGATATCGTAAGACACCATGATGTCGTGTTCACCAAGGAGTGTTCCGACAAGCTTATGTCAGACGATATTATGACATCACGACACCGTCACATTGTGCGACATTATAAAGTGGCCCGAACGCGACGCAGTGCGACAAGCGACATCCCAGACACGCATAGCACATGCCCAGCTCATTCGGGGCGCGTTTCGGGCTCCCTGGTCTCCGACGGCACGATCGAGTTCATTCTTGTCTCGTCAGACCCACAACTAGTCACGCCCAGTCACGAGGAAAGCCAGAACCTTTGACAAAAGCTGCCGCAGCGGTGGGGGCACCCGGACGAGGGCAGAGAGCATGACGAAGGGCAGGCCTCACCTAAACTCGTGTCGGCTCTGAGCAGCAGCTGGTGTCGCCCGTTCAGGGACTTCACATACAGCGTGCCCACGCCCCGCTCCACGTAGCCGTCACCTTTCTTGTGGAACAGCTTGCACCTGCACGGAAGAGTTATGCCGACTTCAGCGCCGCTTGCCCCAATGCGTAAAAGGGGTGACTATTTTTCCGGCGTGCTAGTACGGTGCCTAGAAAGAGTCTCCGACCGGTGTTCGGCACGTCCTAAAAAGTGGTCCCTCAATTCCCGCACAATGACGTCGTATAAGTGCCACGCCGTCGCCCCGGAGCGGCCCCGGAGCGGCCCCGGCCCGACGGCTTGCTGAAGCTTCGGCAGCCGGGAATCGCTCCGCCGCAACGACGGTGACACTCGCATTCTCTGGTGCTTTTTTTGTCGTAACTTCTACGCCTGGTGCCGATCCTGACGACCGACGATGCGACTCTCCGGCTTTTACGACATCGTCTGTTGCCACTTCGGGACAACTTTTCATGCGTCGGTAGAATGAGACACGAAACACGCCAGTTGGAACACCAGTTGCAGGCATCGTAGCTTAGGTCGCCGTTTTTAACGTAAAACATTCTTTGGCTCGTAGGGGGTCACCAGATTTAGTGAAGCCCGAAAAATCGACCGCGAAGCTCGACGCCGATTGGCCGGTGGATAGGTCACGTGATCTACGCTGATTGGCTGATTCCGGCGAGTATGGAAGGTTCTGGAAAATAGCCAGGCTTGACAACCCGACCAGCGCCAGTATCTCCGTTCCAGGAACTGCTATCGAGTTTCTATGCCACGTGTTATCCGACGAAGGGCGCGATGAGCGTGGGTGTTGGGTCCGTAACGTTCCGGAGCAATACCAAAACGTTTCCCTTCTAACACAGTTTCCCAACAATTCGCTACACAATTTGCTTTTAAAAATTTCCGCCGACGGACTTTGTACGTTGGTGCGATTTGTATCCATCCTTTTATACAAGTACGGACGCTAACTGCTGAAATTGACCCCGGGGGTTATGTTTCTTGATCGATAGGTTGACGAGAATATTGAAACTTGCTCTCTCTCGCGCATACATTGCGATCATAATGTATGCGTCAATACAAATGGCTCCCAGATAAAATGGGAGCCATTTGTATCGACAACCCGTTTTTGGTCAAAAGCTCGGATGAAGTCGTAGATTTTTTAAAGACAAACGCGGACAAAGGCTTTCTAGCCTGCTCACTGGACATAAAGGATTTATACTATTCCCTACCTCACAACAAGCTACTGACCTGCATAGAGGAAAGCAGAGATAAACACGGGGTGGTGGCCTTTCAGAACGCAGCAGGAATGACTGTAGATGACTTTCTCGAATTGTTTAATTTTATCTAAACTCGACCTTTGTTGAGTGGAACAGCGGAGTGTATATTCAGAAGCAAGGGGTGTGTATTGGTTCGTGTTTAGCTCCAGTTTTGAGCGATATATTTTTAGCCCATCATGACAGAGTTCTCTCGGAACGCCTGAATGACTTTAATGGTAGAAAGTTTTTTAGATTCGTCAACGATTATTTAGTTCTTCTTCCCGATGATGTTTCTCACTTTTTCTCGGTGGTGAACAGCCTTTTAACAGTTTTTAGTACCGTCCTAGATCCTCTCAAGCTTACGCACGAGGTACCTGTGGACAACGTCATACAGATTTTAGATATCAGGCTCACACTTTCGAAGCAACATGTGTGTTGGAAATACCAACCAAGAGCAAATAAGCCCCTGTTGCCGTTCAATTCATCCCATTCGAAACTTGTTAAGAGAGGAATTGTAAATTTGTGCTTTGTAAACACCATCAGAAGGTCGCGTCATCATGCGATGCCTTCAGGTGTGAAGGAGCAGTCAGAACGCTTGGTGGCTGCCGGTTTTCCGGGGATGCTCCTGGTGTCTGTTGCAGAAAAGGTTTTAAAGAAGCTACGAGTAGTAGCGAGTCCAGACCAGGATCTGGCCCAAAAGAAACAAAGAGTGGCGGTTGTGCCTTATATGCACAAAATTGCACACAATCTCAAAAAGATAGCAAACTGCGTAAATGCTCGGGTGGTTTTTGGGAAAAACTTGCCAAGTTGTGCAAAATGACGAACCCATACCGCAAACCATCTGTTGGCTGTGTGAAGAAATATCGCAGCTCGTTTGTAGAATGCGCAGAAGGCGTCATCTATGAGATCCCGCTGACGTGCGGTAAAAAGTATGTGGGACAGACGGGAAGATGTCTAAATGACAGATTGCGCGAACACAACCAAAAAGTGAGCAGACAGCGTGACGTCATTTGTCGATGCACTGCCATGACTGTGGGTGCAAACCTGAATTTAACTTGTGCACTGTTATTAGAAAACATAGAGATAAGAGGGTAAGGGAAATTATAGAGGCAGACCTGATAAAAAAAACTACGGGGATCGATGTGTCAGCGTGGCGTCGATCGATTTGGGCGACAAAGAAACACAGTTCTTGCGATCAGTGGCGTGGCATGGGATTGGCTGAATGGCACGATGATGGAGAGTATTTATACCCTTGATTTTCTGACGATTAGACCAGTTGAAGTTAGCGCATTGTGTTGTCTCGTTCCTACTCTTCGTCCCTGTCGTGAAGCGCTATTATGTTCTCCAATTTTCAAAGCAAATTCGCCACCTGTGACCGCCGCATGCAAGTACCACTTACCGTTTATAGGGGGCGCAACTTACACGAAGGTGCAACTCACAGACCAGAAAATACGGCACATACTTGGACTAGTTGGCATGCCCCGGGGAACTAAAAGACTGGCTTGTTTCGAGTCCGCCTAACCAGAGGGATGTTCATCCTGCTGCCATTTTAGCATAATTTGTGGAAAAAGCCTCAACCGTCCGTTTAACCGAGCACTGTGGGTGGCATGCTTGCCTTCCAAGCAAGCTGGAGTATGCGAATACGCTAACTATTGCTGAGGAGCGCACCGCCGAAGACACAATTTCAACGTCGTGCGATTCTGCGCAGTCTTTGTTTTAAAGAAATACAGGGAGCCTAGGTCCGAGAATATGTGGCTGGAAGACAAGCACCCTCGGGGTGCTAACATGTTCAGTACTTGTGTAGCACGGTTGGATGCAAGGGTGGCCATTGTCACGGCGATCCCTCTCACATCTGCTTTGGTCTCCATCAAACTTCTCCCTATGGCCTGTTCTGCCGTAGGTTGCTCGCTATACTTCTGCGAGCAAATCCGCACTAAACAAACAAATGAATATTCAAGTTCCCGCACGTCGTCGCAAAGAGTTTCGCCTGTCCGTTTTATATTGCCTCTTCTATCCTTCATCATCCAATAATTGAGCAGTTCTGTGTTGATCCACAGTACAGAAACAGCGACAGCTGCGACAAGTCACGGCAAAGTGGGCATCGGCATCGCGTTCAAGCATCGTGCGGTGCGCAAACAAAATAGACATCGGACAATTTTGTTCCAAATGCTTTCGTTTCTTTATTGTTTTGGAGCATGTGAAAGAGTATCTTCTGGCACGAGCTCTTAGCATTGACACCGCTACAAAAGCATTTTGTTATCGGCTATTTTATTTTTTCGAGAGAGCACGTGCAGTGGGCACTGGGTACTACAAAACCCCCAAGTTTAGGGCGGGTTGTTAACCAGGGTGTCTAGCAAATTATTATTTTGAAATTCCCCGACTTTTCCAGGTTTTCCCTGACAATTTCAGGAGAAATTCCCTGACGTCTGTAGAGGCGGTTAAATATATAAGACCATCACCATACAAGGCATTGAGCATTGAGCACTGTGAGAATCATTTTGCACGGGCTTAATCCAATTTGCATATACCAAAATACTATTTGGGTTCGTCCAGCCCGGATGAAATGAACACGTTCTTGCCGCCGACATTTTCAGTGAAGAGGCCACTTCCGGAAAGACAATGAAAACGTGACGTTCAACCACACACGTCAATAACCGAATGGCAGCATGGCGAATGGTCGCCAGATGCACACTTTCGGATACTTTCGGCTTAATGCTTGAATTGGATTGGGGTCTGTGGCTTTCCCATCTGTTACTAAATCTAGAAGCTCTTACTGAATCCAGCCTGGTGTTGTGCCCTCATACCAATCTAATCCAAGGCTTGGACTGGATTTGTCGGCTGTTCCCTTTGCATCGGATAGCACGCTGTACATCGGGTGAGCAGGGCCCGCGCTCCGCTATAAGTAAAATTTACAGTAGACTCTCATTAATTCAAACTCCAGGAAGTCACAGATTTTCGTTTGAATTATCAGAAGTTTGAATTATCAGAACTTCATCTAAATATGATACTAGACAACATTATGATTTGTTTCACAGATAGCTACACATAAAAAGCAGATTTTTGCCAGTTTCCTCTTCATAGGCTTGATTATAAGCAAGTACAGGACAGTCGCCGACCGTTTTCTTGGACTCCGATAATTCGGACTTGTTAGATATTTCGGACCTAAAGGCGGAACCGTGACTTACCCCATAGAAATAGTGTATATTCACAACCAATGTTTCGGACAGCCTGAAGTCCGAAAGTTCGATTATTCGGACAAAATCGTCGCGAGCGATCAGCGGAAAACATTATCGAGAAGCGGCCACTTTGAATTCTATGTTGGCTGCAAATGGATTGGCTTGGTTTGGCAGCGCTACTTGAGCATTCCTGAGTCCTACCACTAGGTGACGCTATGCTAGCCCTTTTTTTCCTATTTAGCTGCACATCATCATCATCATCATCATTATTATCATTTAGCTTTGTTTTTCGTTCCTTCGCGTCACCAGTCGCCATTTTGCGCTCGTGGATTTGCGCCTCTGATCTCGTTCGGAAAATGGTGGTTTGGACGTCATGGCCCCATATGTTGTTCTGCCGCCGCGATCTGTAGTTAAGAAGTGCAGAAAGTACTCGACCATAACGCTAGAAAAGAAGGCGGCGATTCTCAAGCTAACAGAAAGTTGCCGAACGAAAACAGAGGCGTAACCTAAAACAAGGCATGCAGGCGTAACCTGAAACAAGGCACTATTTACGGCATTTTTAAGCCCACTTGCAAGTAATAAAGGCAAGTTTTTCAATCTGCTGATTTTTCGGACTGCTCTATTATTCGGACGTTTTTTCGGTCCCAGCGAAGTCCGAA